TTTTTCTTTATTCTAAAGAAGCTAGCAGCTTTTACCTTTTGCATAGTGCTAAGCCCAGGCCTGGACCGCTCCGCTTGTTGACTTGGACAAACTTTGTGAAGAGCTTGGGGATGTCTTGGGAGCGTAGGCCAATGCCAGTGTCCTTTACCTGGAGTTGCAAAGATGCCACGGTTAAGAAAAATGTTTTGTATGGGTGGAGAGCTTACCTGTATTCTAATGTAAAAGTGAGAATCGCCTTGTGTTGGAAGGAACTCTGGTGCTCTAGGATCTCGCGAGTACTCCGGCCTCTCCATGCAAGCGGACACTGTGATACTTCCATCCTTCGTGAACTTGACGGCATTTCCTATGATGAATAGAACGATCTGCAAGAGACGCTTCTCGTCTCCAACAGCAAATTCCGGAAGGTCGGCAGCCAAATTCATGGTGATGTAAAGCTTCTTCACAGCAGCTATTGGCTTCACAAGGTTGTAGACCTGGACATCAACACAATTAAAAATTGAAACAACAAAAAGAGGGAGACCGGAGACCAACCTCTCGGAAGAGAAACAGAAGGTTGAATGGAGCAATCTCGAGTTGGAAGCTGCCATCTTCGAGCTTGGAGAGGTCCAGAACATCGTCTATAAGCTTGGCCAAAAGCCTGCTATTGCGTAGGATGGTCTCCACCATCGACCGTTGCTCCGCATTGAGCTGGCTGTCCTGGAGGAGCGACGAGAGAGTTATGATCGTATGCATGGGAACACGCATCTCGTGATTCATGACCGCTAGGAAATCGTTGCAAGCGGACACGGCAGTCTCTGCCTCCTGTCGAGCAGCGTCCAGCGCTATGTTTTGCTCCACTAGCAAGTCTCGGGACCGTATGGATTCCTCCAATATTGCCGCGTGGGAGAGAGCGACGGCAACCTGCAAAGCAAATCACCAACTTAGAGGAAAAAGTAAAGAAAAAGGAATCAAATAAGAGACCACTTGCCTGGTCGGCGACGACTTCCACAAGCTCAAGCTCGTGAATGCGCCACCTTCGCGCGCTATCTGATGGCAATATCAAAACCAGCAGCGCATACGGACCTTTGGCCGGCTCGGGCCAGTCGACGATTGGAAAGTTCACCATGCGCAAGAGCGGCACGCGCACAGCAACAGCATCTCCAGAAATGTATTTCCCAGCGTGTGTTCTTGTCATGGCCACAGGGCTGCTGGACGGAATGACCACCGCGCGATTGCTGCTGAAAACCTGTCGCAGCGTTGGGTGGTGTATCGGCACGATCCCAACGTTGGCCTTGCTCAGCTGGCGAAGCGAGTGTGTGAGCTGAAGCTCGAGACCGTTTCTAGTCGGCATCCACAGCGTGCATTCTTCCAGAGCCAAAGTCTTCCCGAGCTCGACCAGCGTGGAGTTGAGAATGGTGTGCCTGTCTAGCGTGCTCCGGATCTCCTGCGTGAGCATTCTTACGTGCCGGCCAGCCTCTTCCTGCGTCCGGATGATCCCCATCTCCCTGTCCAGCTCGTCCGCCTTGTTCTTGAGGAAGAGCTCGCGGGTCTTGACGCTGAGCAAGTCGGGGATGATATGGACGAGCATGAGCGCTGTGGCGCACGAAACCACCGCTGTGAGAATTTTCGCGACTGTCATCACGGTCGCCATTGTTCTCGAGTGAGAGCCCAGCGTCCAGAGGCTGATGAAATGCGTAGCTCCACACAGGACGATGAAGGCACCAAACTGTACGAGCACCCAGCGGTATGGAAACAAGGCGGATTTCTTGACGAAGTAGATGAGCTCGATCGGAATGGAGAAGTAGGCGAGCGCAATGAAGAAATCCGCGATGTACTGGTACCGGATGTGGATGTCATCGGACGACCACTGCGGCTCGATGATGCAGTTGCAATCCATCTTGCTCCTCCTCTTCCTCCTGCGCTACCTCCTAGGCCCTTGCCCCTAATCCCTGGCTGTGATTCTCACTCCTGGCCGATCCAGGCGCCATTGGAATGGAGAATTTCGGAATGACGAGGTGGAGATTACCGCAGAATCTTACTCTCCCGCTGCCGATTTCGAGCTGACAGGAGCTCCTAGCGGCGCTGCCGTGCTTACCTCGCGCTCGAGATTCCAGCGCCTCGATCGTGGCCAAAACCCTAGACGAAGAGACAGAGAGAGCTCCTCCACTAGCTGCATTCCGTGGAGCATATTGCTAGTAAAAGTCGAAAGCATTCACGGAAAGAGAAAAACTTCACGGACCAGGCATATAGAAGATCCCGGACCGTTGATCCGGTAAAATCGCATTCCCAGCCGTCGGATCAAAATCACAGTTTTACCCACTTTCCCGCGGGTCTCGAGCCGGCGACTTTCTCTCGAGGTATATTCTTTTTCCCCTTGAGGTATATGCTTTTTCTCTTGCTGAGGATTAGGGTTGAAGTGCTGCTCGATCGATCGCTAGGCGCTGGCGCAGATCCGGCGCTGCGCAATGCCGGTGTAGGAGGCGGCGAGAATCCGAGAGGTTTGTGTGCCGGGCGGTAATTTCGCGTCGCTGTGCAATGCGAAATGGCGGATCCAGCAGCTTTCGATTTCTTCTTCCAGCAGGCCGATGTGGATCGGGATGGGAAGGTGAGTGGCGCCGAGGCAATCCACTTCTTCAAGGGATCGAATTTGCCTCAGCCTGTTCTTGCCAAGGTAATGTAAAGACCGATGTATTTTCCTTGTTTTTATTCTTTCTTTTGTTCTTTGTAGATTTGGCATGCTGCGGACAATGGCCATACCGGGTTTCTCTCGCGACCAGAGTTTTATAACGCCTTGAAGCTCGTCACGGTTGCTCAGTCTGGACGAGAGCTGACGCCGGAGATCATGAGAGCGGCGCTCGTCGGGCCGGCGTCGCTCAAGATTCCAGCTCCAAAAATTCAGCTCCCCGCGGGCCAGCAGTCGCAAATCCCAGTTCCTGGACAACAGGCACCACCACCTCTTCCAGTTTCAACGACGCAAGTTACTGTTCAACCTGGTAGGACTTCGTTTAGCAGTGGACCGCCACCTCCACCACTTCAAGGCTCTCTACAACAAAATGCATCGTTTAGCGTCGCACAGCCAGCTCCCGGTGCTTCACCAAGACCATCGTTTACCGGCGGCAGCGCGTCACAGCCACCATCGTATACCGGTGCTACCACGCTACAACCACAGCAGGGACCATCTTTTCCCGGTGCTACCACGCCACAACCACAGCAAACACCATCGTTTGCCAGTGCTACCGCGTCACAGCCAACATCATCGTTTGCAAGCGCTCCTTTACCACAACCACAGCAAACACCGTCGTTTCCTACGCAACTGCAGCAAGCACCATCGTTTGCAACCAATGCAAACACGTCACAGCTTCAGCAAACACCACCGTTTGCCACTGCTCCTACACCACAGCCTCAGCAAACTCCTCGGGCACCGGTGTATCAACAGCAACCTCCAGTACAAAGCGTTCCAAGACCAGGTTCTTCCGGTGGACTTGGAGCAGAGTCTTGGCGGCCAAGCAGTGTGCAAGGTCAGCTCTTTTCATCGGCAACCCCAGTGAGACCAACAACTTCAGCTATACCCAATCAAAGTTTTTCTGTCAACAATGGCCCGAGCACCAACTTTGCTTCCCAGCAAGGTCCTGGTGCTCCTCCGGGGTTGCGGGCTGGAGCTGGAGCTCCCGATAGAGCTAAAGCCTCTGGAGGATTTAGTCCCTTTGGCAACGACGCGTTTTCCGTGAGCTCTACTACAGCAAGACCGGCGATTGATCAGAACTTTGTTGCTTCATCTCCGTTGACACCGAGACAGCCGTCGCCAGGAATGTCCCCGCAAGCGCCGCCTCCTAAAGTCATGCACGGTTTCAGACCCCCAATGGGGGCTGCATGGCCTAAGATGACAGCAAACGATGTACAGCGCTACTCTCGAGTTTTTACGGACGTTGACACAGACAAAGACGGGAAGATCACAGGCATACAAGCACGGGATCTCTTCTTGAGCTGGAGACTTCCTAGAGGTATTTTATTTTGTCAGATGTGCATTGGCTCTTAACTTTCTCTCCAGACGTCTTGAAGCAGGTTTGGGACCTATCGGATCAAGATGGCGATAGCATGCTTTCTTTTCGGGAATTCTCTACGGCTTTATATCTGATGGAACGGCTTCGAGAAGGCCGCCCTTTACCTCCTGTTCTTCCAGCGGGCTTTCATTTTGACGATGGCACTCCTCAGTCTCATCTTGCTGCTGCACAAGGCTATAATCAGCCTTCTTGGCAGCGCAATGCAAGTACGTTCATTCTTTCCTTTTCGTACTGGAGTATGAATTAACACAAGCGAACAGGACCAGGTATGCCTCCAGGACTTGTTCCGCAAGAACAATTCGGCATGCCGGGTGCATTTCAAGGACAACAGACAGGAAGACATGCTAGAGCCAGACCCAGGGGTGCGGAGTTTAATGGCAGTGACAAGGTAAATTAATCAAGAAAGACGTGGGGGCAACCTGACTTTCTGTTATTTGCAGCCAAATCAAAGTGAGGGGAAAGTTTTGGATTCAAAAGAAAAGCTTGAATATTATCGTAACAAGCTACAGGAAATCGTAAGGACGTCGTCAATTTTTTTTTTTTTTTCTTTCTCTGTGGTAACATTCTGTATGCAGGTGTTATTCAAAAGAAAATGTGACAACCGTTTATCGGAGATCACTGACAGAGCGGCTGCCGAAAAACGCGAGGTGGGAGGTCCTATTAGTTCTTTGTTTATCTGGTTGGGAACGTCGATTTGTGTGTGTAGGAGGAAATCATGGCGAAGAAGTATGAAGAAAAGTATAAGCAGGCACTGGAAGTGAATTCACGTTTGGTGTCTGAAGAAGCAGCCTTTCGCGAAACACAGGTCTGCTTGTGCCTAAGATATGCATACTAAAAACTGATCTCTTCAGACACTCAAATCTGAGCTTCGGAGTGCGATTGCTGAAATTGAACGCGGGGGAAATCCAAATGCGCTGCTCCAGGTTACGCACAGAATTATTTATGCCTGCTCTGATTTGTTTTTTTCTCTCCAACAGACTCGTGCAGATCGTATTGCAAATGACCTTGATGAACTTGAGAAGGCGTTGGTCCAGCGTGGTAACCTTCTTGGGCTTCAAGTTAGCGGGACAGCCAAAGTTGAGCTTCCATTTGGTAAGTGAAACAATCGGGACATTTATAGCTTATGCTGACGCGTGGATTGACAGGATGGCAGCCAGGGCTTCAAGAAAATGCCGTTGAATGGGATGAGGACTGGGATAAGTTTGATGACGAAGGTTGGCAATTGTTTATTTCCCATTCGCATATTTACTTATAATGCATGCAGGATACAACACGATTCAAGGGATTATGGACGAGCAACCTGTATCTGGAACAGCGTCACATCCTGGCTGGGACGAGAATAGCATGTTTGCTGATGGCTTTGACTTTGCATCCGAGCCCATTCACGCGGAGGAAAACTTTGATAAAGGGCCTGCTGACTCGCCGCACGCAGAAAGCGAAACGAGCTCCATCAAAAGTGGTGTTGATAGCCCACAGTGGTCTCCAAAAGGTTACCCGTCCAAGAGAAGCATTCCTGGAAGTTCTCCTTTGTCAGCCAAAGCAGATCACAGGCAAGGACGTAAATTTCTGACTTTGTGTTTTTCTTCTAATATACGTCTTGTAGCTTTGAGTCGCACGAAGACGAGCCGCCCTTCCATTCTTCAAGGTTTGCTCTTCGATTTCATGGTAATGAACTTTTGTTTCGACTCGTTCTCTTTTGCAGCTTTGATCAAGATCCATCTTTTGACTCAACGGATCACTACGAAGAAACTCCTTGGACTAGCGCGTTCGGCAACCCAAACGAGGATGTGTGGGGTCTAGGGACCGACTCTCCATCTTCCTCTTTCCAGGTACTCTCTAACTTGTTATTCTGATTTGGTGTCATCATAACACAGGCGTCTTTCCTTCAGCCTTTAGCGGTTAAAACCCGATCAGAAAGAGACTTTTTGGACTTGGGATCGATGAACATAAGCTCTCCTGCTCACAGCGAAGCCAAGAACGAAGGCGATTTCTTTGGCAAAAAGGAGTGGAACGATTGGCCTGGTGACACCAACAGCACTTCAGTGCCAAGCACTCCGTTGTTTAAGAGTGAGTCGCCAAAACATGAAGGCTCGTATTTCGGTCAACCGAGCCGGCTCGAGTTATGATATGATGCAACGCTTGTAGATTGAGGTACCTTTTGTAATTGGTTTCTCCCACTCACTTTTGCAGTGGTTATTTCTATACACATTTTTTCGATCGCGATTATAAGAGCAAGAAATATGGATCTTAAGGGTACTGACTTTTTCATTGCCTTTCCAGTGAAGCATAGAAACTTAAAGATTGGAGGTGTGCTAGAACCAAACAACCTCAGGTGGCATATCTCTTCCCCTCTCTTTGTGAGTTTCTTAATATCATTGTTCTTACAAGTGACGGGAAGTATTTGGCATTCAAGGTAGTTATGGACACCCTTTCGGCAAAGATCATTCAAGTTTAAAGCACTCCTCAAAGCTCTTGTGGCGCAGCCCCAAACATCCGACATGCGATCGCAGAAGTGCGTAGTTACATTGTAACAGGTTCTTTAGAAATTCTTTTTTCGTTTTTGTTTTTCTCTTCTTTTGTACACGTAATTTACAGCGACGGGGGTTCAATACCCTTCCTAAGAATTTTTACTTTAAACCGAGGTGTCGTAACTACCGCCTCTTCACGTCTCGCGCGCTTCGTCTCCTTCGGTTTTCCAGCTTCTCATGTGTCTGATATAAAGGTATGCGCCTTGTTCTTTCTGTGTTTGCCACAAAATTTTGTTTTCCTCTACCGCAGGAAAACCGCTTATCATGACGCGGGGGCTACTTTTCTTACTGGTGCTGCTCTTCATGAGTAGCATCGTCAGCTGTAAGTTGTAGTTGCTGCAAATGAGTGCCCGAGATGATATCTTTTTCTTCATAATGCAGGTGACTTGGAGTGCGAGGATTTGCCGGCAGAGGATTGTGCATTTGCGGTCTCGTCGTCGGGAGCCAGATGCATGCTTCAAAACGCAACCAACGAACTGAAATGCCAAGTACAAGTCTTTCGTAGCTGCTTGCTTTGAGCTCATCACAGCTGGATTTTTGTTGCAGACGTCCATGGTCATGTCGGACAAAAGAGTGGAATGGATTGAGAGTAGCGAGTGTATGCAGTCGTGTGGAGTCGACAGAATGACGGTTGGAATGTCCCCAGACGCGTTGCTCGACAAGTCTTTTCTTCCCAAGCTCTGCAGCCCGAGCTGTCAGATTAGCTGCCACAACATTTTCGATCTTTACGTTAGTCTCGCCGTTGGCGAAGGTAACACTTTTCACTTGAGAGAAAAAGGCTTGAAGTTTTATCTCTTTCCTTACCAGGTTTCTACTTACCGAGTCTCTGCCAAACACAACCTGTGAGGGTGCACAGAAAGATGAAGGTCGACTCGACTCCTCTTATCAAGCCTCCGGACGAGAGTCTTCCAGCTCCAGCTCCAGCGCCCGAATTATCAGCAGCTCAAGGAAGTGTCCCCGCGGGCTCGCCGTCGCCAACGTCAACTCCATCTATTCAAGCACCAGCTCAAGCACCAGCAATTCAAGTACCAGTTCCAGCACCAGCACCAGCAATTCAAGCACCAGAACAGGCAGAAGCAGTGCAAGCACCAGTTCCAGCGCCGCAGCATGTCCAAGCACCGGCTCCAGCACCAGAGCAAGCAAATGAGCCACCGGCACCAGTACCAGCTCTTCCAGTTTCAGTCGCGGCTCCGGCACCAGAGCTAACTCTAGCTCCGGCCCCGGTTTTACCAGCGGAGGAGCCTGTTCCATTCTCGCCAACTTTGACACCAGCCGAGGAGCCTTTCCAGCCTTTCCCATCTCCGCCAACTTTCGCACCGGCAGAGGAGCCGTATCCATCGCCAGTGGTGGCAGCACCAGCGGCAGAGCCAGCTCTAGCGGAGGAGCCAGCTCCGGCTCCAGTGGCTGAAGAGCCCGTCCAAGTTCCGGCCGAGCAACCAGCCGAAGCTCTTGCTCCATCTCTCGAAGACGGCGGCTGGTCTCAAGAAGTCGAAACTCCAGCGCCGGCTCCAGTGGCTGCCTTGGCCGAGGCGGAGGCTCCTTCGGCTGCTACACCGATTTACGAGTCACACTTTGAGCTCGAAGCCCCGCCTCCAAGCACGTACTACGACGAGGAGCCAGCAGCAGCACCATCGGAGGAATCTGGCGTCGCGGAGGCTCCAAGTTCTTCGAGTTCTTACGAGGAAGCTGTCCCGCCAACTTTGTTTGATGGTGGTGCCGAGGGACCAGTGGAAGCACCGAATGCTTTGGAAGGACCGGCTCCCTCCCAGGAAGAAGAAGCTCCGCCGCCAGGTTTCTATGGCGAGGAAGAAGCTCCGGCCCCGGATTTGCTCGCGAGCGGAGAAGAAGGCGAAGCTCCATCTCCATACAGCGAAGAAGAAGAAGCTCCATCTCCAGCGTTTGAGCAACCGGAAGGAGGAGCTGAAGAATCTGAGCAGCAACAAGGAGGAACTCGAGCTCCATCTCCAGCGATTGAGAAAGCTCCATCTCCAGCATTTGAGCAGCAACAAGGAGGAACTCCATCTCCATCTCCAGCGTTTGAGAACCAACAAGGAGGAGGAGCTCCACCACTACCTTTTTAAATTTCCCTCGTAGTTTTGTAATATTAAGTCACTCGCGATGCGTGATGGAAAGATTTCTCTTGCTGGAATCGTCAAGCGCCATTCGCGAATGCGGCTGCTATGATCCAAGATCCAAGCGATCGATCATCGGGCAATCTTCCCTCTCATGGAGCGGCATCGAGTCCATTTCTTCGCGGAGCTCTTGGCAGCGTAATGCGTGTCCTCCCATTTTTTGCTCTATACACATTCGTTTTGGTCGCGATTAGGTGGCAATCGAGAGAGCGAGGAGCTCAAACAAGCCTGGATTCGTAGAGAGTCAAGGTTTACGTGACTGAATTTCTCAGCGAATTTTTCGTTTTTTGCTTGTTTCCAGTGAAGCACAGAAGCGTACTGCTCGTACTGGCCGGAGTGGAAACCAAGAACAACATGATGGTGCACGGCATGGAGTCTGTGCGCGATAGCTCTCTGGAACAAACTTTACGAAAGCTATGGCCCCGGTCGCTTTCTCTTGCACACAGATGGATGGGCGTGGACGATTCGCACGGCAAGCTCACGCTTCTGGCTCTTTCGGTGACAAGGTGGGATTTCTCTCTCCTTTGTCAGCTTTTTGTTTCTAGGTGGAATCGAGCTTTTCCTCATCGTGTTTGCTCTCCAGGCGATGAACTACGACCAAGTGAAGCTCCGAGATGGGAGGTGTCTGGCCTACAAAGAATTCGGAGTCGACAGGAGCTCGGCGAGATTCAAGGTGGTGGTCATTCATGGGCTTGGCAGTTCTCGCGACGCTCTTTTCCCGTGCTCAAAGGTACGTAGTAGAGAGACTCCTTCCCTTTCGAAAGTTTGGCTAGCCTACTCGATCGCAGGAGCTTGCGGACGAGCTGGGACTTTACATGGTCGGATTCGATCGAGCTGGCTATGGACACAGCGACCCTTTTCCGCAAAGATCTGTGAAGTCCGAAGCGCTCGACATCCAGGATTTGGCAGACCAGCTTCAACTCGGTGCGAAGTTCCACATCATAGCAATCTCGATTGGTGGCTACTCGGCATGGTCGTGTCTCAAGTACATTCCACACAGGTATATCATCTCTTCTTTTCAAGCTCTATCTCCTTCGCACTCAATCCTTTCTTTCTCTCCCAGGATTGCTGGAGCGGCACTTGTTGCTCCAGCCATCAACTACTGGTGGCCGTGCTTGCCACCATCTCTTTCTCACCAGGCTTTCAGCGCTCGATCGTTTCTAGACAAGTGTGGCCTTCGACTGGCTCACTACTTCCCCGGCCTCTACACCTGGTGGAGCAGCCAGAGATGGCTAGAACCCGGCATTTCCAGGCTCGACAAGGTGGACCAGACCATCCTGGCCAGTCCCAACATCCTCAAGGCAAGAAAAAAACTCTTTTTTTTCTCCTCCGCTTGATCGTTCTCTCGATTTCTCAGCACCGGAGCCAAGCCCAACGCCAGGGAGCCCAGGAATCCACCGCGAGAGACATCCTCGTCCAGTTTGCGAGCTGGGAATTCGATCCAAGCCAGGTGGAGCAGCCGGGAGAGGGAATTCGCGTGGATATCTGGCAGGGCGATCGAGATTACTTGGTTCCGGCGCTCCTCCAGCGTTGCATCCACGAAAGATTGCCCTGGACCGGCTATCACGAGCTCCCAGAAATGGGCCACTTGTTCTTCCTCCTCCCGGGGCGTGGAGAGGAGATTATCCGCACGCTACTAATCTAACCACGCTTATTATTCTAACCTGATCTCGTTTAGTCTAAACTTGTATTAAGACAAGATTAGTTTTTAAAGAAACATTGATTAGTTTAAAAGTACATAATCTTGTTTACTCTAAAATTGGTTACCATAGTGACAAGTGGCGAGAATCCTACCGTGAAAATAAAACTGCCACGTGGAGTGCGGCCTGCCGCGCGATTTGAATTATATGTGGTTTAGGTTAGGAAGAACACGAAGAACACCTGAGCGGGGCCATGGCGTACGGGTATGACCTCGCGCTCGCGCTCTTTCTCGCGATGCGTGATTCCAGGTAGCACACAGGGAAGAAAGATTTGTCTACATGGGAAGATCGAGGCAGCGTTGCAGGGATAGATCCCTACCGGGCAGGAGCTGGGGCTGGATTTCGCCGTGAGCGCTGGAAGAATCCAATGTGCGCGGCCAGATTATCGATCAAGGGAGCGGCGGCACCCTCGTGTTCTCCAGATCAGGGAAAGCCGCTGCTACTGGCGCCTTCTTCCGGCTCGCATCATCGCCGGGAGAGATTCAAGATCCTCGCGGCCGCGGGAATCAGCGCCTTCTTGCTGCTGTCGCTCACATTCTCCCCTCTCTGGAGCCTCCACGCCAGGCATCGCCCCATCCTCTCGCGGACAAGCTCTTCCATTTCCTCCTCCTCCGCCGCGACGACGCAGCAGCCCCGGCGCTCGTACGATGTGCTCCACTACACCGCACTGGAGGCCAGCGATGGCGACGAGAGGGATAGAATCCGGCAGCTCCTGGACGAGCGATCGTCGGCCAAGTACTACTGGCACCACGGGCGGGGCGGGCGTGGCAGGGTGGAGCTGGAGCACAGCGATGGCTACGAGCGGCGCCGCCCCACCCCCATGCGGAGGCTGCGAGATCGTCGGTGGACGCCGGATCTCTCCAATCCCAGGTACGCTCCCTACACCGGAGAATTCCGCCAGATGCTCCAGAGCTGGGCTCGCCGCAAGCGCTACGATCCAGAGATCATGGCCGAGCTCCTTCCAGCGATCAAAGAGCCCATTGACCGCCACTACAAGAACTTATCCACCACCACCACCACCAAGGAGGACGAACTAGTGATCCAAGAGCAAGCCCACCATCGCCACCACCACCATCTCACCAAGGAGGATGACCGAAAAGGACACTTTGGCGACCAAGGAAGATCATCATCGCCATCGCCATCGCCATACCCGACGTGTGCCGTGGTTGGAAACAGCGGCGTCCTCCTCAACCGGACTTACGGCGCGCTCATCGACAGCTACCAGATGGTGATGCGCCTCAACAACGCAAAGGTGGCGGGCTTCGAGCGCTGGGTGGGATCCAAGACCACCATCTCCTTCGTCAACAGCAACATCGTCCACTCGTGCGCTCGCCGCCACCGCTGCTCCTGCCCCTCCTACGGCGACGCCGTCCCCACCGTCTCCTACGTCTGCCAAGTTGCGCACTTCCTCGACTTGGCCTACTGCCGCGCGCATCGCCGAGCTCCGCTGCTCGTCACCGATCCCCGCTTCGACAGCCTCGCCACCCGGATCGTCCGCTACTACTCGCTCCGCCACTTCTTCCACACCACCGGGAGATCTTACGACGACTGGAACAAGCTCCACGACGGGACGCTCTTCCACTACTCGTCCGGGATGCAAGCGGTGATGCTGGCGCTGGGGATCTGCGACGAGGTGGGCCTGTTTGGATTCGGGAAGCTGTCCAATTCCACTCACCACTATCATACCAACCAGAGGACCGAGCTCGCGCTTCACGACTACGAGGCCGAGTATATCTTGTACCATGATCTCGTCCATCGCCCAGGTATGGTTCCTTTTCTTAATGAGTCTGGCCTGGCGGTTCCTCCTGTGAAGATCTTCCTCTGAGAAACTCAACCACACTTTTTTTTTGCTCTTCTCCTGTTTCTTAGGAAGAAAAAAAGAGAGAGATCTTTCATCTTTTACCTGTACATTTTGCTCTTACGAAGAAAAAGTTTCCATTCTTTTTTTTTTTCCTTGAGTTTTCGTAGCGTTTTGGAAGATCGATCGAAGCTCAGTAGTAGTCCGTCTGCCTTTGTGCTACTTCGCTCTGCAAAATTCGTGATTCGTTTGATCGACTGGAAACACAAAAGTATCGATTTTTCTTTCACAAACCTCGAATGCTCTCTTGAGATGCTCCAGCTCCTTGTCCAGATCGCTGAGGGCCAGGTTGTACGCTTGAATCGGTGACGACTGGCTGGTGGTTTGCACCTATGGATCGATCAAAGTTTCATCCATCAGTGCTTAGAAGAAAAAATGATGGAAAAAAGAGAAGCTTTCACCTTGACAATGATCTTGTATTGCAATGGATGTGGTAGCTTGTATCCAGCAAACAATACATTGGGATCGCGGTGTAGCTGCCTGAAAGCCAAAGAAAAAAAAAGAAGAATCACTCTAGGAAGCTAAACAAAAGAGAGGATTTGATTTTCTAGCTTACATGCGGACAACGTTTCCAACAGTGTGATCTTCTCGCTGAATGGTGAAAGCGCCGGCATTCATTACCTTCATATCCCTCTCATACGCAACCCTACGCGCGATCAAGAGAAAAAAAAAAAAAAGAGAAAGGACTTTTGAGCAGCCACGGCACTGGAAATCATCGCGCGCGCGGGCGCCCGCAATGCCGTAACATCCACAACTTACTTCTTGGTGCCCTCGGGAACGACGAAGCGCTCATAGCGATCCGGCGCGTTCATGGCGACAAAAGAGAAGAAGAAAGAAGAAAACCCCAACTTTAGGGTTTATGGGTTCCCTCGCTTCGGGGGTTCGAATCCTTTTCATCGCGATTTCCTCGCGCGAAATGCATGACACCACGAAAATCTCCACCACCGATTCCTTGCCAGCACCGAAATCGTGAAACCCAAACGTCGATCGATCGAAAGAGCTGCCCAAGAACCCTAAAATCACAGCACACGCGTTCTTGGATCTCCCCTGTTTCTGTTCTTTCAAAAGTAGGTACCAGCGGCACTGTAAGTACACTACATTGCTTTGGAAAATAAAGAGAGAAAAAAAAAACCACAGTGATTCTTTCCTTGCTCATCCTTTACATTGTGTTCTTTGGATCGGTCGATCGCTCCCTGTTTCGTTCTTGGCCCTCTCTCTCGATCGATCGATCGATCCAGAGGAGAAGAAGAAGAGTGTTGCTAGGAATTGTGATGAATCAAATCAAAACCACCAAAGCCCAGCCATGGATCATGCTCGCGGGCGCGCGCGCGAGAGAGAGAGAGAGGCTCAGTGCCGCGTTGGAACGAACGCGAGGTGCTGGAGATGGTGGTGGTGTTGATGCGGGTGGATCGATCCACCGCCAAAGAAATCGTGCTGCTGGTGATGGCGCTGGAGCTGCGATGCTCGCGGATCAAACAATCCAAATTTCCCGGCCGCCAGCGCCGCCGCCACCGCGGTGGGCGACGATCCGGAGGAGCAAGACGAGAGCGGCGGCGAGGAGGCCGCCGCCGCCGCTACTCCCGCCGCCAGCGGCGATCCAGCCCCGCCACCGCTAGCGGCGGCGGCAGCTTCCGCCATGTAGCGCTGGACCTCCTTGGCTACCATGTCCTTCATCATCCCCAAGAGCCCATTGTTGCCACCATTGCCAGGAGGAGGAGAAGGAGCTCCTCCATCCAATCTTCCATCCAATCGCCCTTGCCGGGGCTGGAAGATCGGCGCGAGCGCTTGCGCCACCGCCGCCCGGATCGCGGCGCTCATCAATTCCACCGCGTCCTCGGCCCGGACGTAGCCGCTGGGCACGAACGCCGGGGCGGCATTCTGGAAGGAGGAAGGAGGAGGAGTGCTTGGCGGCGGCGGCGGCGGAGGAGGAGCTGGAGCTCCCGGCTTGCTCGATTCCATGGTCGCCGCTGGGATTTGCCCCGGGAGAGAAAGGCTGAGCGATGTGAGTGGATCCGCCGCGCCACCGGTGTTGGAGCTGGATTCCTCGCATGGATTGTAGCTGGCAAACGCGGACGCGCGGGGCAGGGGCTTGAAGATCCCATTGGCGGCGGCGGCGGCGGTGGTGGTGGTGGTGGCGGCGGTGGCGGTGGTGGCGGTGGTGGTGGTGCTCGTGGTCGTGTTCTTGGGCGACAGCGCGTCCCCAAAATTCATCCTTTTCAAGCTCCGCGAATCCACCTCCCAATTGCTGCCATCCTCGTCGTCGTTGGACATGTCATTGCTGCTGCGCTTGAAGCTCGAGATCTCCTCCTCGTCGCTGTTCTTGACGAACTGGTGGATCTGGTGGTGCTGGCGATGATTGGCGTTCTCGTGCTCGATGATGGCGGCAGCGTGGCTCTTCTCGCCGCCGCTACCACCGCCGCTGGCACAGCAGCGCCGCCGGAGAGTGGAGTTCCAGTGGTTCTTGATCGCGTTGTCTGTTCTTCCGGGCAAGAGGCGCGCGATGGTCGCCCACTTGTTCCCGTGCTGCGAATGCGCCTTGATGATGGTGGCGTCCTCGGCGGCGGTGAAGGGGCGGTGCTCCACCTGGGGGCTCAGCTGGTTGCACCACCGCAGCCGGCACGATTTGCCCGATCGCCCAGCAATCCCCTTGCTGATGAGCGACCAATTCCTCGCGCCATACTTGTCCACCAGCTTCTGGAGCGCCGCGTCCTCCTCGGGGCTCCACGGCCCCTTGATCCTGTCCAGCTCCTCCGCCGACGCTCCGCCACTCCCACCACCGCTCTTGCCAAGCGCCATCGTGCACATCGCTCGCATCTACGCAAAACTCCCCCGAAATACCGCTCGATTCAGCCGATGCGCGCCAAGAATCCCAGGATTCTTGCCCAGAACAATGGCGCCATTGATCGAATCGATCCGATCGAGCTGGAATCGTCGCTTGGATCGAGAGATGAGATGAGAGAAGAGTAGCGCTGCCCAAAAACCCTAAACTCAAGAACAAAAAGAGTGAAGCTCAAGGCACACACACACACCCTCTCTCTCTCGCCCCTACATATGGCCACAACGGCCAATGGCCATGGCCATAATAACCATAACGCAAACTCTAACCACCACTCCACATCATGCCATACATGCCATGGTCCCCCATGGCATCAGCAACCATGACGTCACGCGGCCTCCATTTGCATACGCATACACAGTACTGCTGACTCGGCGCACGCGGCCGTACGCAGCCGCCAGAGGCCTACGTGTTGACGTGTCGCGCAGAGGCTGGAGAGGAATCGCCCGCTTGTGGCCCATGGCCACTCCCCTGTACGGCTCGGCCCACCAAACGGATAAGACCGGCCAGGGGTTAACGCCCCAATTTTCCCGGCCGGCGAACTTGTCGCCTGGCCGCCGGCCGAGCCGGCTGCAGCCAATGCAACCTGGATCGGCCGGTCGGCCGGTCGGGGGCGCCAGCAAAATTTCCCGGCCGCCGGGAACTTGGTCTTTGAGATTTTTACTATTAACCTTCTATTTCTCTTTTTCTCCCTTTTTTGTAACAACGGAACAATACAAATAACCGCTGTGCCACCCAGAGATGGGCTTCTTCTTGCTTTTGTTTGCCAATCATGAGCCTAGCTTCCGGAGACATCCTCCCACGCCATCAACATGTTGGAGATGGGTGACAAGGGAACCAAATGTAGGGCCGCCTCCTTTTCCTTTCGCGCTGGGGCCTCCCCTTTCCTCTTTCCTCCTGTGAGTGACAAAAACCACCACCACCACCACCACCACCAGACCTAGTGCCAAAACAAAGCCTCGCAAAAAACAATGCCCAAGATACCCCTGGCAAAGCAAGACCCCACGGCCAATCCCAATTTGCCCAGTTAGGGCAAAAGTATATTTGTTTATAATTTCTCGGTTAAAGCTACTCCAGCCATGTTTGACAGAGACATGGATGCATCGAATGGGAAGAAAACCCTATTCTCTTTCACAACACACACTCCATCACCTCATTATCATAAGGAATCCTTCAAACTCCACACTCTTCTCCAGAAGTAGTATTCAGTAAAAGAGCATCAAAAATTTACCACCACCGGGATCGTGGCATCTGTCTGTACTGTGGCTGTACACATACATGATAGACCAGTAGTGTATAAACGAATCAATCTTATATTTATACCACTCGCGCCTTAAGATATGTGCCTACGTACCCAGCTTTTGCCCAACCAAGCCAAAAGATTCCTGCCCCTCATTCATTTAGATCATTTCAAGGGCTTTGCTTTTTCGCTCTCGCATCGCTTAGAGGGACCTGACCAGACCCGGTCAAAATATCAATCTAGAAGGCAAAAAAACTGTATCGCCTTTAGCTACTCTGCTCCCTAGGAATGATGCAATCCATCTTTAATCGCCCAGAATTCTTTTATAATTCCCTAAAGCTTTCCCCCACTTCGAAAGCCAAACCATGTTCCAATGTACAAACTATACAAAATCGTGAGATTAATTTCGTGACCCCGGCTTTAGTTTACGTGCAAGTTGCGCTACAAGCCAGCAATCATATCGCCGCTCTTTACTGGGATCCAGTAAGACAGGCTCGTGATTAGCGAGCGAGCGAGCGAGCGAGGGGATCAAAGGGAATCTTTTTTCTTTGTTTCACCGGTCAGTTCTTCGCTAGTGGTGTTAGGTCAATCAAGTGGTAAGACACCAAGCTGGCTCTAGCTTGCAATGCAAGCGAGGAAACAAAACAAAATGCCCCTGCGACCTTGGGATCCAAACTCAAGCCATACAAAGCATATAAAATAAGGTGGTAACACGTGCAATGGCGATCGGGCATTTGCATGGCGCCCTAATTTGCAAACTCCAACGAGAGAAGAGAAAAATTTTGCCCGGTGCTCGCGCTGTGTCCGGCAGTATCAGACACAACCCACAAATGGTTAAAACTTAAAAGCAGCCCTAAAAAGCAACAGATTTAACGGCAAGCCGGTTAGCGATTTAACGTGCTAAAACGGTTTTTAAAACCGGGCGCCGGTTTTAACGGGCACAACTGGGGCCGGTCCAGCTAGAAATGCGGCCGCCCACGTGTCTAAATTGCCAGCCTGTGCGGCAGTTCACGTGAATAAAAAGTTAAATGCGCCACGCGTCCGGCCAACGGACGCTCCAGATGTGGAGAGCTAGCGGCACGTGGGCCGTTGGATCTGGGAGACAGCCTGGCCGTTAGAGGTGGGTGGTTTCGCTTTTTTTTTTTTTTTCTTTTTATCGCTTTCCACATGCCAGAAATGCGTTGACCGCGCCACTGACCGTGGACCTGCCCCAACTACTTCGCCTTTGGGGATTAAAAAACCAGTAGAAATGATTTATCGGCCAGTCCGTGTACGGCGGAATGGGACATGCGTACGGCAGCAAACGTCCCATGGAACTTGGGTAACTTGGAACTCTGGAACTCCTGGCTGGCTCTGGATGTATGGGCCCTAGATTTTTAAAACCACCTTTCGCGCGGTTTTAAAAATTTTATTTTGTCTCCCGATCTGATCTGCCAGATCCAAACCCAGTCGCTCCATCTCTCTCGAATTCTTGTTTTTCGACCAGGTGCACACTTGTCTGGTGTTTGTCTCCGCGAATTATCGAGGAAAGCGGAGAAAAGGGCTGGGCGAGCGCTTAAAGAAACGCTTCCCAGCAGCCCATTCCATCCACGGGAGGAACAGATCCCGGTAAGCATCAACTTACGTGTGTAGGAAAACGATCGATCGCGGGATCGATCTGGACAAAAATGGACACCAAACCGAGACAAAGAGAGAGAGTAAGAGGAGAAAAAATAGAGGCCAATACATACAATGCAGTGTTAGACTCACTAACTTACGTGGGGGAGATTTTTGTAGCTTTGTTATG